TATGTAAAAATTATCAAACTCATATAAACTTAAAAAATGTGATAAGCTTTTAAAAGTAGAGATTTCAAGCTTTAAAACCCTTTTTTTAAATTTGAATTTCATTCATTATTGACGAAGATATTGTATATACAACTTTGAGCTAAAAAATACGCGATGACTTTTTATTACACCTAATATATCTGTAGTTATATTAATTTTTAGATGTTTCAAGCAAAATTGTTTTTCCAAGTACATAACATGTATGATTATTACACTACTATTATAATAATTATTATATCATGTCAAATATCAAAAATTTTTCTCACTATATGTCATGATCACGTCTACTTTAAGCACAGTATGTTGACCTATATTTTTTCATCCTTTTCTTCTTATACGTTTTAACCGAGGTATTCGAGCTTCTCCCTGTGAACTTTAATCTGTACGTATAAAATACGTAGAAAATGGTCGCGCAGCGAAGCGTTGCTAAGAGCCGAGTGAAATATTAGCGCAATGGTTGGTGCTAAAGCGCGACGCTATTTGATTTACGAGCATAGGTGGTACCTGTATTTTTCGTGTGGAAAATGTTTCTCTTCCCATGGCGACGATGAACTCGGGATCGTTTAACGCGGCTTAGGCACAAACGGTTCGCTTTTGTACCAAAGACACATATGCCCGGGAAATTCATCGAAAATCGGTTCGGTTATCGAAATTGCAATGTCTACATCGAGAACAAGGATATATATTGCTCACCGCGAGCATCCTATTAATTGGATGTTCCTATCAAAGTCCACAGAGCAGAAATTGAATTTCCGTTATACACCAGCACTGAAAGGGGAATCGAAAAAAAAATTACTGGATTACAATTCTGTAGGAAAACAAATATGTGGTATTCTAAAGTATGTTTGATAATAACCATTCGCTTCTATTTGATAATTCAATCTGAATCTCGTTGTATGTATACAAATTTACATTATTACAGAAAGTTTTGATATGAAGTACCTATAAATATAGTTAGATCTAAAATTATTTTATTGAAATCAGCAAAAAATTATATAAGACGTTCACAACACACATACAAAACACACACACACACACCCCACACAAAAACACAACACACACACACACACACACACACACACACAAATTGCTTATTAGAATGTTAAAACTTTTTGCATCATTACTTCTCATGCTTGAGTTTCCTACATAATTAATTTGATATATATATATATATATATAAAATATAGGCCAACAAAATTACTTTCAGATTTATATCTAAATTTTTAGATACTTCAATAAAATTGTCCTTTCTGTCTAGGTTATGCAGCTATTTATTTACTTTGAACGTTATATTTTTTTGCATTTTGCTCGATGATAGTTTGCGAAGGCGGTTTATTTTAAGCTATAAAAAATGTTAAAAATCGATTGACGACATGCTAAATATAAATGACTATATAGATGCTGATTTAAAAGGCTGGATTGTATATTAACATGAAGTTGATATCTATATTAAAATTTAATATAAAGCAATGACGATATTTATAATAATGCAATATTTATATTATTATTTTATTTCTCTGATTATTTCTCATATTCATCTTAATCATAAGTAACTATAAATATATTATTGCCGTTTTAATTTATTCGTCTTGTAAATTTGCATATATCTTATAATTCCTATAAACAAAATATAAAAACATGGATATTAATATTAAATTAATATTAATATTAAATTAATATTAATATTAAGAATCAAATATAAATAATTGAAGTATATTTCTATATCAGAGAATTAAAATAATGAGAAATACAAATTGCAGAAATATTTTCTCTCATTTCATTTTATAATTATATAACCCGTTATAATTATAATTTCTTTAATCACTAAGCGTTATGGTAATTAATGCTGTCATACTGCAGATGTGATCTGCACAGCGCGCACACGGTGGACGCATACGCATCGGGATGTGTGCATGATTTGCTCTTTATCTCGTAACCGCACGTTTGCTTGCAGTAATCAGAAGAATGATAACATTTTTATAAAATTTTGGTGCATAAGTTACTCGTATATTTCTTGTAGAAACTAAGAACACACTAGCCAATTAATTTTAAGCAAATACATGACACAAAATGATTTGACTGTTTAATATTTATAATATTATCGATGTAAATACTTGGAAGTAGCTTTGCAGTTTTTTGTTCTAATTTTTCTCAATAAGGAAAAGTAAACTATCAGTTTACTTTTATTCCTACATTCATAATTAATACGCACAAACGCAGTGGAATTTTCTTAGTGCAAATTTCTTAAATAATAATTCTTTTAAAAAGAAACCAGAAGAAGAATATAATATATTATATTTTTTTTTAATTTATAGATATTAGATCTCTTAACAGTAGATATGACGTTAAAATTAGAAATAATTTCCAATTGTTTTCAATAACATATATTACAATTATTTCGCGTTAATTCTGCTGGGAACAAATATGTTTATTTACTAGCGTTAGCATTTTGTAATTATCAAATAATTGAAAGCGATCATGTGCATGTCCACGATAATAAATAATTAAGTAACAAATGTGTCTCTCGCTTTACATTAATCTCGAAATTATTAATTCTCGTCCTACGCGACAAATTATATTATAATATAAAATCATCGTACTAAAAAATATTCTAAATTTTACTAAATATTTGTCTGAATAGTATTAATTTAACACATTTACTTACAGTAAATATATTTTTACTAGATAAAAAAAAATAATAGTTATGTCGAATTAATAGTTCATACACCAAATGAATACATTTAGTAAATATTCAGCTACTATTATTCGAATAAATATTATATTTATCAAAATTTAGTACATTTTTCTCACAATGTAGTAACATGCACGTACGTTCGATATCGCGTATTGGAATTATAATTATACTTTACATGATTTGTAACTGTAATTGTTAAAATGTAATCTGATATTCGTTTAATCTGCGAGCAGCAAAACATTTCCGAAAGAAAAACAAATAGAACATAAAAGATAATACGATTTTTCCCAGAACACTTTATATCCGTTTCTACCAATGTAGTTTAATTTTAATGTTGGTTTAACTTTTCATCTTTTTTTCTTTTGTACAATAGTTCTAAGAATTAAAAACGGATAAAGAGTAATCAGAAACGATTAACTCCGTTCAAATCCGGTATCTCGTCTCTCTCGTTACCGGTTTTATTAACATTATAGGTTTTCCTACTATTGAGTACTTGTGTCGAGATAGAGAGGCGCGGTACCAAAGGTATCGCGTGCTTTCAGAAGGCGCGTGTGTGATAAAGACCCGCTAACGCTATTGTATGTACATTGTACACGCAAACGGCTCGAAGAGAGGTGGGACTCGTACCGGAGCCCGGGATAGATGAGAGTGGGAGAAGTAGGAGATCTCGGGGACTCGTGTAACACGTTAACGCAGCTATCGCGACTGCGAGTAGGATGGGGGGCCATGAGAGAGTGGACATCTGAGCCCCGTAATATCAATTAATTTACCTAATCCGCATGCGTATATATTCAAAATAAATCAATGCCCGCCGCGGCTTTGAGATAACCAATGCACACTACACAATCCCTCGTATAGCTCCGCATATGTTCCGAATAAATACTCCCGACTACTCTGAGAGAAACAGGGAGAGGAAAGAGATTTCCATCGAGCGGATTGACCGAAGGGCCACCGCAGGTCGCGCGACACGCAGGGGTGCGTTCAGATTCCCACCCCGAGTGCTCTCCCGATATTATTTACCTTTTATTTAACATCAATGAACACAAGGATATGAAATGATACCTAAGTGGCACTCGGGTAAACAAAAATGTGGGAATTTGAAACGTAGCCCAGGTGTGATTCGCTCGTTTTACAGTTTGTCTGCGTTGTCAACGTGCACTCTCTCACCTTTCGATACCGCCTCGTTGTGGTCAGGTAGGACGTGGCGGTCAGCACGCGGCTCATCTCGCACCACCTCACGACGAATATCGCCCGAAACGATACCGCTGCCATTTCGTCGCCGCTGTCAAAGAGCCGGGCGCACCGTTCGACGACGTTCCGACGCGCGGATCACTCGCTATTCGCCCTTCCCTCGCGCACGAGTCGACCGGGACAACAAACTCCCGCCTGCCACCCGCGTCACGCGGCTTGAACGAACCGACAACCGGCTGTGAGCGACTACCGCACTCGGCACTACCGTCCGCGGCGGGCAGACGATATCGCGCGCGCGGATCCCGAGACCCCGACCTTGCGGCGGCCGAAGACGTGACATGCGCGCCGCGCCATGCTCGACGCGCATTGGTTGAACTGGATCGAACGGCGTTGACGCTGCTATGAGCGGCATATTTGGAATCCGGTTGATTCGGTTGATTCGTTTTTATTCCCTAGGTACGGACCGTGGAGACGTCGTCGCTCGCTGGAAACGCTGTTCTCGGAATCAACGTACTCCGTTGTCACGCGCATAGCATATATGCAATACACGCGCGAGTTCCCGACGTTGTAGGGAATGGTTCATGTAAATTCCAGAACACTGCGGTGATGTTTTTTCTCGTTTTCTAATCGAAATTCTAAATATTGTTTTTCAAAGTTTTTCATTTGTTATTTTAAGAAAATTTTCAACTGACGCGACGCGTCGGTTGGAAACTATATAATTTTTTTTTTATTTTAATAAAATAAAAAAACTTTCAAAAACAATATCCAATATTTGCAGTTTCGACCAGAAAAGAAAAAAATGTTATGCAATGGATTATTGTTATAAATTAGTTCTAACATTAGTTTCGAAACAAATTTCTTTATATTAGTTTAGATCAAGGTTGGGTAGTAACTAGTTAAAACGTTAACAGTTAAAAAATTAATAACTTTTAACTTAACTTTTTTAACTTAACTTAGTTAATTTTAAATGCATTAATTTTTAACTGAATTTAGTTATTTTTAAACTTTAATTTATTAACTTTTTTAAAATTAGAAACTGTCCTATTTCTCTTAATGCTAATATTTTTTTTTCTATAAAATCTTAAACATTAGAGAATTAATTTAGAAAAAGTTTGATAATTTTATGATGAGAGACTCTATAATAAGAGTCACACCATACGGTAGCCAGTTTTTATTCATTCGCTTGGTTTTGTTAATTCCCGCTTATATTTGAATAACACTTAATTTTAGGTATTATAAATGTTATATTTCAGCAACGTAAATATGAAATGAGCCTTAGATGAAGAATTGTTGTAGAACAGTACTGCATATTCACCCATTTCCTAAATTTATACATTTATCTTTGTAATAAATATCTAATCGATATAGTCGTAAACATGCATGAGCAGTCGTTTTAAAAGTTAAAGAAAGAGAAACAATGCAAACATATATCCTTCTCTCTTGCAAGATTCTACAAAAATACCTTATAGTGTGACTCTTATTATATATAAGTAACTTACATGTGAATATAAAATTAAATTTACCTAATAATCTATATTTGTAAGTGATTACTTTAAAGTAATCTTATTATAAGAAAAATTAGGACATTCTGATCTCAAAAATAATTTTTTTTAAATTAACTATTTTTAAACTTAAGTTAATTCAATCTTAACTTTTACTAAGTTAATTCTTTATTCCTTCAATTTTTAACTTAATTTTATTCATTTTATTAAGCCATTAACTTTAACTTAATTTAATTAGAAAAAAATATTAACTTACCCAACCCCCTGGTTTAGATATTATCTTTTCTTTTTTCTGTTAAGATACTTCGATGAATACAAATCTACTTTCGCGAGGCATTCTTATCCGATTTTTATTTTAATGTTCAACTTGCACTTTGCAGTTTTAAATCGATGAACGGAAGTATTTTTCCGCGACTACTGCGTATAAATAAGTATTAAATAATTTTACACTCTTTTCTTAATAATTTATAATTTAAATTTATATAAGATGCTTTCGGAAATACACCCCGAGTGCCTCCAGGTATCAGTTTATCTTTGTTTAATCTTCGGTGAATAACGTATAATGAAGGAAGCACTCGGTGTATATTCCCGAACGCAGCTTTGGTGTCATCTACAGACTTCTATATATAGATTGCGTTCCATTCCAAATTTACTGTCAGAGGACTGGAAACTACAATTCACGTGACATGAATCTACAATTCATGTCACGTAGACTATAGATTTTCAGTACTGGTAACCAATTTTGGAACACAACCATAGAAAATTACGCTATTATCACTGTTTGTGTTATTTCATATCCATGTTTTACGTCTAATAAGTAATGAAAATAGAATGACACAAATATGTCTTCCCGAACGCACTTTATATACTTCTGTATAGAAGTCTGTAAAATCACTTTAATAATTTTCGATAAAACAACAGACAAATTCAACTGCGCACGTTATTTCATTCATTTTCATTCAGGTGCAATTTCAGTCTCCTATCAATCGTTCCAACCCCAACAGAAACGTTACCTCCGCACGCAAAATGTATCAAATCTTGAAGCGTATCTCGATTACGACAAACAACGATATGATAACGTGATAGCGTATAGAAGAGATACCCAACTTCAAGAGGAGAAAGAATGTCGTCCGTTACTAAAGACTATTTTTACGCCGAGAACTATTACGATTATGCCGTTCAGCCTCACACATTCGGCAACTATACTGCTGTCTCTACCACACATCTCCGTTGGAATTCGCTGATTCGTGTCGTCCTGACAATTCTGCTGCGCATCGGCTTTGTTCTTGTCCAGATCGGCAGTGTGCCGATTAACAACGTTAATTTGATACTCCTTCAAAATGCGGTCGATCTGTGTTGCGTTACCGTTATGTACTTCCTAACGGGCTTCCTCGTTGCCTATAACGGCGACATCGTTGGTCTGATCGGCGCGGGTTATTGGATTGGTGATCCAACGATTGACAAGAACGAAGCGATCGTGGGATGGCAGGCAGTGACAATCGCATCGGCGATTTGCACCACAGCCGTCGCAGGCCGGATGCACATAGCGGGAAACCTGCTGGTGAGCATCCTCTTGTCAGGCCTGATCCAACCATTGCTCATCCATTGGGCATGGATGGGGTGGATGGCGGAGAACGAATTAGGTGGAAAGATGATGGTCTTCAAGGATCAAGCTGGTGCAGCAGTGATTCATATCACCGGAGGACTCTCAGGTTTGATCGGATGCATTGTTCTTGGCAGAAGAATGTTCAAATTGAAAGACTTGGACGACGCGAGCATTATCCCTGGCTCTGCCCGGAATGTTTTCGGGGGTCTACTGTTAATCTTCGCTGGGCTTCAAGTAAATATCTCGCTGGATGCGATCGTCAAGTTAATAGAATTAACAGAATAAAAAATTATAAGAAACTAAGTATTTTTTATAATCTAAAATTATAGTTGTCAAGTACGGTGGAAAAAATTTAAGTTTCTTTCGAAAATTGCGAAAATTGCATCTAAAAAAGATTTCTGGGTCAAATATGGTATTATTCTCCGATGTATCATAAAATAGAATCAATATAGAAATAATATTTATTATTAAAAGAAGTATTTTATTCTTAAGGCCAATGTCCACGATGCTAGAAATCGATCCGAGATCTCGGATGAAGAAAGTATTGACCAATCGCATTGGTCATATGATCAAATTATTCAAATGTGATTTGTTAATTTTTTCTTTGTCCGAGATTTTAGATCAATTTCTAGCATCGTGGACATTGGGCTTTAAAACAGAAAATTCTTAAATCTAAAACAAAATGAAATCATGAATATCAGTTTCGTGCCAAATACTGGCGCCAGCCAGTTGTTATGCATAACATTAAGTAAAGATTTATTTTAAACGTAAGAATATATAGCGATTCTAAAAAGTCCATTTTGTGACCATCGAATTTCGAATCAAACTGTATGCCAAATGATGCTATTTGCGGATTCAATATTGTTCAAGCATTAACACAAAAAAAGTTCATACTTCCTTAATAAGTAATAGTAAAATTTTGACTAGAATTAATCAGAATGATTTTCTAACCCGTCCATCCCTATTGATTGATCTTTTAAAGGGATAAAACTATCTCCGAAGAAACTTTTTCTGAATTTTTTAAAAAACGGATGCAAATATGAAAAAAATATTTAAGATAAAAGTTGTTTGTCTTAAAGTTCTGCACAAAAAAGGTTTCCTAAACATTTTTCTTCTTATCTGTCGTAAATAATACTACAAAAATATATAGGCTAAAAATGTGTATTTTTGGGGCCACTCTTTAACTTTATATTGTTATTCTCGTTTAAAGACATTAAAATTAAATAAATCAACTTTATCTAATTCGAGGAAGAAAAATAGAAATTATTGATTTAGGAACTTATTCTGTGACTCTTAACGATTATAACTGTAGCAACGCCCTTGCGCAGGTTTTGTACATAGTAAAAAAGTTGCGCAACACTATAACGCTGAATTTCAATCGTTAAGAGTTACAGAATAGTTTAATTTTGTTGGACCATCAAAATAATTATGTAGAACATCTGAGCATGATGAGTAATGCAAAAGTTTCAACATTCTAGCAATCAGTTTGACGCAATTATTTTGATGATCCAACAAAATTAGTTTGACATCTATACGTAGCTAAATTTGTAAATACAAAACCGTTCTTTTTCTATGCAAAAAAAAGAATTGCTAATTGCTAGTGTGCAACGTTTCGTACATTTGCAGGGTTTGTACACGAGCTCGCATGAGCATGACAAGTACCGAATGTTCACATGGGACTCATCACACGCATACGTCAACAATTTGCTAGCCGCGTCCTCGTGCACATTGATAATCGTGGCTCTACACTTCGTCCTCGACCGTGATATTTATCATCATTCGACGTTAATGAGGTGCATTCAAGGAACGATCGCCGGCGTGGTAATGGTGTCGGCTGCACCAAACGATTATTCACCGCAAATAGCTATCGTATTAGGCTCCCTGGGAGGTATCGTGTTCCATTTCGTCTCCACGTGGATTTTTTACAGCACCCTGGAAGATTATTGCAACGTCGTAGCCGTACATCTTATTTGCGCAATCCTTGGGAGTATCCTTGCTCCTTTCTGCGCGATGCGTGCAGACGAGGATACCATGACGATATTATTGAATTTCTCTTGGCAATTAATCTCCTTGACTGCATTGCTGGCTCTAGTTGGCACAGCAATGCTGCTGATTTTCGGTATGCTGGAGTGCTGCGGAATACTCCGTAATAGATTGGAATG